ATTAAATACAGCAGGTGTTAAACTTTAAAAATCTACTCGCAAGACTGCCAGCATTCCTCAGCATTCAATTCTATTACCCACATTATCCATGAAGCACTAAGACCAACTCAGATGTTACACTTTTCACTCCGGTTACCTTTTCCAACAAAATAGGAGAGCCTGGGGGAGAAAGGTGGAACATCTGCCAACAAGGAAGACATATAACTAGCTTTCTATAAATCTGAAGGTGTTATTCTGTAGCTACACAAAGCAAGCTGTGAGGACTGGCCTGCACACTTTCCTTCCCTCAGGTAGAAGGGCGATGTGATCGATACCTTCCATGAGGCAGTACGTTAGCCTGGAGTAGTTAAAAAGCAGTATTGGAAAATACTCTATTTGCCAGCCGTGTTTTCTTTAAGTTTAAACTAATTTGGAATTGGCATAGTATGCTTTGGCAGGGGAAGAAAAAAAGACGATCTAATAGGTCATTTCACTTTCGTCACTAATTTCTGTGAGCTAAATAACATTTTATGTTTATGGTGTTTAAAACTCAATTTCCCAAGGACCAGTTTTAAAGTTAGAAATGGTCACTATGACAGTAGCTATCAAACCGATAAAGATGATAAGTAAGAAAAGTCCTGAAGAACTTTTGAAACAGCAAAAAAGGAGCTCCAGCCCCCTTATACCTCACAGTATCTGAGCAATATTTATTTGCTCAGACGCAAGTAAGTGTGCATTATAAGGTCAGTATGGTAATTACAGATGTAGTGTTTCATTGGACCAGAAAAAAAAACAACAAAAAATGAACAGTGGTGTCATGAATAAGAAACAGAGGTGACATAACTTGCAATGTTTATTATATATTTGCCTATTATCTACTTAGCTATTTATTGTATTCTAAATATACATTAACTATTTTATATATAAAGTGCATACATGCATATACACACACACTATCTATGAAACACATACAATAATATGGATGCAGAGCCAGAAGACTCTTACACTGAAAGGAGGAAACAAGAAAGCAGATTAGATCACAAAGATGCAAAGAACTGACATAAGGGGCATAAGACGCAAGCATCCCGAAGATGAGATGCAAAGTTTTGGATGGGCTGCATATTCTCCTAATACTTCCTTTGAACACCAAGCTGCTCCAGCATTCTAAATAATCCAACACAAAGGCACAGAAAACAAGTTTGACTTTTGCCAGGTTGAACGGGGGTTGGGGAAAAAGGCCCTCCCAGATATTTATAAGCAACATATTAACTTTTGTGCATGACTGACAGTGTGGGAGCAAACTAGTTCTGAAACCCACTGTTCTCCTCGAGTAGAACAGGTTGAAAGAGCTATAAATCCAGATATTCCAAACTTCAGCAAGTGAAAACTTGGTCTACAACAAGACACAGATTCAGAGCAGATCAGCAATTCATGAAACACAGCCAAGCCTCTGCTCCTACATTGCTTCTTGAAAAAAGGCTCCCATTGATGACTGCCTGTCAGTTGACATAGAGCCCTCAACAGTGGAAAGTGCATAATCCCTTTCATGAACTCCGGGAGCGAGGCTGTAAACTGTGGGGGTGGTGACAAGGAGCATGGCACAGACCAGAGAGCTTGTACTCCACCACATGAAGAAAATCAGAGTGTGTGTCTTCAGATATTCCTCTTCTAGAGACAGCTTTTAGCCAGTCTGCTGAAAGGTACCTCAGCACTTGTGCCAGCACGGGCTGCTGGGAGGGTTTGCTGTCCCAACCTAGTACACATCTCTCCTCCCTTCCCAGCATCTCTCAGTCTCTCAGTTTGGAGAAGGGCACACAGACTGAACATACTTCTCTTTGTTTTGCCTCGATGAAAAAGAATTAGAAACAGCATTTCTTGTGATCCACATTGTATTTGTTGTCATTGAAGCCTGACTGCTTCATTCTCAAATTGTGCGGTTTAATAATCTGAGGGAAGAATTCAATAATGATTGTGTGTGAAGAGTAAAGCAGTAGCAGACCCAAATGATTGTTCCGCTATAAACCTCTCAGCTGGAGTTTACCAAGGAATAAAGGGAGAAACCCCCAAAATGTAGTTCACTGTTTTCTCATGTCAAAAGAAAGTGTTAAATGAATTTGAACTGTTTTGGCAAATAAAAATCATGATGCACGTACACATCAAAACTCACCAATCTTCTATGATGGCTAGAAATGAAAAAGCTTCTTCTTTTGTACTCAAAAAGCATAAATGTCTTAAAGAAAATATTTTTCAGTTGCTTTAAAAGGAGCAATTTCTCAGGTTTTGAATATTACTTTCACGTACACATGGATGCTCCCTAACCTTTTCCACATGAGACAAAAATCATAATTATCACACTATGAGTAAAACAAAGCAGATGTTTCTTTTCTGTTGGTTGTTTTTTGTTTTTTTTTTTGCAACACTTGTGTACACATTCCTTAAAAAAAGAAAAAAAGGTTGATGGAAATGTGTCATGTTTAGGAAATACCAGAATGTCTCTTTTCAAGAGAAGTAGCATAGTGCACATTGAGTACATTTAAATAGCACCGAGACCGAAGCAGACAAATTCAGTTACAGTGAATTTCACAGCACACTACCCTTCAGGTTGGCTGCTCTTAGCTCCTGGAGTGTCCCAACCTGAAACAAATTAATAATAGCAAGAGCTGTAAATGCATTTCCTCCTTTTGTTACTTTGTTTCCACAACTTTCACATTACAGCAGGGCAGTGTGTCTCTGTCCCGGATCTTCAAGGGAAGGTCAACAAATCACAGAATGGTTTGGGTTGAAGGGAACTTAAAGCTCACCCAGTTCCAACCCCCTGCCATGGGCAGGGACACCTTCCACCAGACCAGGTTGCTCTAAGCCCTGTCCAACCTGACAGGGATGGGGCAGCCACAGCTTCTCTGGGCAACCTGTGCCAGTGCCTCCCCACCCTCATAACGAAGAGCTTTCTAATATCTAATCTAGATCTCCCCTCTTTCAGTTTAAAGGCATCCCCCCCTTGTCCTACCCCTACTTGCTCTTATAAAAAATGAGCTACTTCACTAAAAACCCTGGCCTTTAATGCTTTAGGATAAGGTTTCGGAAGAAGGGGAAAGGAAAACCCACAGCTAGCAATGGCCCAAGGAGCTGTTCTGAAGACGGATGCGTACACAGTGCACCAGAACGCTTCCCTGGAGCCAAGTAATCCTGAGGTCTCCTGAACCTCCAGCCCCTCTCCTGTATCTTGTGGAAATGACATGAGATGTGGAAAAGGATCTGAAGACCGTTTGGCTGACTATAGGTAGTCCCTGCTCGTGGAGTTTGATTAGTTACTGAGCTAGGAGTAGATGTGAACCAAGGCAAAGCGCTGCGGTGCGAGGGGCACCGCGGTAACCGTGCGTTCAAAAGTCCTGCGGAAAGGCAGAGAAATATGGTTGTGCCTCGCTGCTAACGCCAGGAAAGCAACAAGATGTCAGTGAGGTTTTTCTGCTTCCTGTTTGCAAAGCGCGCACACACACACACAGAGCATCCTCCCCCCCGCCCCGGGCTTTGTGTGGCTCCAGCCGCCGTTCCCTCCCTCCCTCTCTCTCCCCCCCTCCCTCCCTCCCTCCTCCCGCCGCCGCCGCGGGCCCTGCCCGGCTCCCCGCCCCAAGGGAGGAGGCGGCCCGCCCCCCGCTCCCGGCCATCCTTCCCGGGAGCGGTACCGGGGGCTGCTCCCCGGCGGGGGGACTGCGCTCAGCTTTTGTTTGCCGCCGGCGAAAGGACTCCCATCCCCGTCGCCCCGGGGGCAGACAAAGCTCCCTGTAGGCCGGTGAGGAGCTGAGGGAAGGGTGTCGCTGCCCGCGGGACTGCGCGGCGCCGCGCAGGGGAGGAGTCGGCGGGCACGGAGCCGGCACCGCGGCCGGAGGAGGACGGGCCTGGCGCGGCCCAAGATAAACACAGTGCTCCCTCCTTCCACGCACGGGAGGGGGGGGGTCGATGGGAAGAGCCGCCGCCGGGACGGCCGTCTCCCCGCCGCTTTGTCACGGTGACACCCCTCGCATCCCCCCGCGGGGCCCGGCGGCAGCTGCCGCCCTGCAGGACCCTCCCGCACAGCCGCGCAGCGGGCGGGCGGGCGGGACGTGCGGGGCTTGTAAACCACACACTGCTGTCGCACCTCCCCTCGCTCCCTCCCTCCCTCCCTCCCTCCATCCATCCCTCCTCCCCACCGCCCATTGTGCGCCCTGCAGAAGGCGAAGACCCGGCTGCCCCGTGCCCACCCCCCAGCACCCGGCCCCGCACAGCCCGGGGCGGGGGGACACGCCAGGACACACACGCACGCTTTTCCCCGATAGCCCCGGCCGAGCGGCCGCGACCTGCTCTAACCACGGCTCTAGCGGAGAGCGGGACCCGGCTCCCCCCGCACCTTCTCTGATTATGCATCCTCGGTGCAGCCTGGGAGTGGGAAACTCCGCTTCCTACTTGCCGCTACGCTCCAGCCGGCTCAGCCCCCGCCCCCTTCCCCCCCCTCCGCTCCTCGCCCAGAGCCTTAAAACCCACGGAAACTTTAGGAAGCGATTCAGCTGGGGTTGCCGCTCGCGTGGGGCAGCCCAGCCGAGAGAAGGGCACAACTTTTATCATCCTCCTGCCGGCACCCCGGCCTGAGGAGCAGACTTCAACCTCCCTCCGCCGAGGGATTTAGAAGGGGGTGGCCAGCACAGCCCGCCAGCCCCCCGCTCGGAAAAGCCGTCGTGAACCACACACACAACCCGTCCGTGGGCTCCCGACAGCCTGCGGCGCGCACCCGGCGCCGCTCCTTCTCCTTCCCCCGGGGCAGCTCTTCCCTTCCGATAGAGACGGGGGGGGGGGGGGGGGGGGGAAAAGTTTGTCCGCTCCCCCCCCCCCCGCCGTGAGAAGTTGCGGAGCAGCCCGAGCCCCCCGCTCACTCAGCCCGGCCGCCGCTGAAGTTGAGCCGAGCACCGGTTCCCCCCTCCGGGAAACCGGGGTCCACCTACAGCTCACCGCAGAGCGGACAGCCGCCCCCCCGGGCCGCATCCCCTTACCATGATCAGAGTGTGGTTCCTCTGCTCCGCCGTGGCTGGCTCGGCATCTTGCTGCTGTTTGCTCTGCTGCTGCTGCTGCTTGCTGCCTCCGGTGCCGGTTTTCTTGGCTCTCTGCTCCAGGGTCCGCTGGTAGAGGCTCACGGTGTCCCTGCGCTCCAGCTCCAGCTGCTCTGCCTGGGCTTGCTGATACCTGCTCTCGCAGTTGACATGGTGCCGCCGGCAGCCCTCGATGCGCTGCCTCAGCCGCTCCACCACCGTGCTGTGCTTGGGGACGCCGCCGTTCGCGTTATTGTTACTGGGAGCAGCGGCAGGAGGGCCGTGGGGAGCGCTGCTGACCCCGACACCGGCCCCGCCGAGGCTGCTGTTCAGGTTATTGTTGATGCAGATACTGCTGCCATTCGCGGCGGCAACGGGGGCTGCAAAATCCCCCATCCTCTTCCCCGGGCACACTATTTTGGAAGAAGTTTTTCCCCTACCCTTGGCACACACACAGTCTCCTCCGGGGTCCTGATGGGATACTTTTGAGAGAACCGGGGGGGAGGGGGCACCAGCATGTATCAGGGAAACAGCGATCCCAAGCAAATGTTTCTCTTTCCCCCCAGCCAATCCCTCTCGAGAAGCTCCAAAACATTAAAAAGAAGGGGGGGGGGGGGGGGGGAGAAGGAGGAGGGAAATAAAGAGAGAAGGTGCTAAAAGGTTATCACCAGCAACACAACCAACGAACACACACACACACACAAAAAGCAGCACAACAAACTAAGCAGCAGCAATTCGGGTAGCAAACTCCTGGAGATATCAGACCAGTTCCTTTCCTCCTTTTTCCTTTTTATAATCCATTATTTCCAAATAGATTTCGGGAGATTTCCGGAGGTTTCGCCCAAAGCCTTCTCTCCCCATGGATAAAGAGCAACACGCGCGCCCCTCCGCCGGCACGCACACATAGAGCCACATCCACAGACACTCACACGCGTGTTCGCGCACACGCATCCAGGCACAGGCACACACGGACACACTCACTCGCACTCCCTGGCAGCAAGAGACAGGACGAGCCGCTTTCTTATTGTATTTTTCCTTCTAGAGAAAAGTTTGGGTGTTTATGCCGCACCGTGTTCGCAAAGTACTTTGGCTGCTGAGTTGCATTTCAACAGGAACCTAAAGAGCAAATCCTCGGGCTGGGGGAAGTAAACACATGGACAATCCGGACCGAGCTGGAAGGAAAGGAAAAAACAATAAAAAAAGAAAGAAACAACAAAAAAAGTAGAGCTGTGAAGTCTCTGCAAACCGCCGAGCTGATAGAGCCTAACGCTTTGCTCTGCTCTGCTTGCTGCTGCTCCTCCTGCCACCATCACAATGATCAAATGCTCTCCTCCTCCACCTCCTCCTCCTCCATGCCAGCGGAGTGATACCAGGACAGGAGCGCTCAGTAAACACCGCAGCAGCACCACCACCACCACCACCAGCAGCAGCAGCAGCAGCAGCAGCAGCAGCAGCAGCAGCGGCAGCTCCTCCAGGCCGGGAGGCAGACCCGGGGACAAGGTGCAAAACCCGGCACGGACGTCGCCCAGCAGGAGCGGACATGGCGCTTCCCCCGCAGCGCCCCACGCTCCGCTTACGCCCGGCGCCTGCGGGCACGGCACGGCACAGCTCGGCACAGCTCAGCTCAGCTCGGCTCGGCTCGACACGGCTCGGGCCGCCACCTGCCGCCCCCGGGGCTCCCCTGGCCGGGCGGGGCGAGCGGCAGGCAGCCGGGGCGAGCACGGCGGCGGAGGCTCGGCGCTGCAGCGGGGCTCGGCGGATACCGGGCGGGAAGAAGGTTAAAGGGGGGGGGGGGGCAGCGCCTCGGGTGAGCGAGCCCCGTGCCTCGGTACCGGAGGGTGCGGAGGACCCCCGGAGCCCAGCGTGTTCCGTGTCTCCCTGCCGTGTCAACTGTTGCATAACGCGGGAGAGGAGCGGGCAGCCCGGTGCCGCCCGGAGACCCGGCTGAACTTTCTATTTTAAACAGCGGCAGAAACATGACACGTTGGGCAGGAACGTTTTTCCGAGAGAGCGAGCTAGCGGGCGGACGGCGGCTGCCTCCGTGCAGAGCTCGGGTGATTCATGGATCAGGGACAGCATCCCGGGAAGCGAGTGCTGAACCATTTGGCAAACAAAGCTACTGCTCGCACAGTTTTAATTGATGGGGATTTTCTAACTAGCACCATGAGATGTGCACTTCCAATTCTTTATTTTCTTCTTTTTCTATTAAGCATACCTCTGTGACCCAGAATCATCTCTGAGAGACACCCTTGTTCTATAACATGCAGCTGGAAATCTAGAGAATTGGGAACTCATACATTAGTCATGAGATCCGATTTAAACCATCATTTCTGCCACTGCAGATTAGCATAGGATACTATTTCTAAGCTTCTCTCAGTGGTAAAGAGCTGTCTTTTGCTTTCTTTAAGTGCTCAGCAATATGAAATTTGAGGTTAATTTCATCTCTATTGCAACTATTCTTGACTATGTTGAGATGGAAAATAATAGTGGACAAATAAGATTAGTAGCTAGTACCTTCCCTGTGCTGGGACTAAGGAGCATGTTTCCCCTCCTTTCCTTAAAACTTTACTATCAGTTTGAGAACTGAAGTGCAACTACTTACGGTTGTTAGTGACCACCCATTACTATTTTATCACAAAATGAACAGGGCAGAACTATAGTTGCACTAAAAAGCAGCCTCAGAGCAAGGGGAAACAGCAAATCCTGCATCATCTCATGGTCTCTGTTAATCTGGAGCCAGGGAATGTGCTATAAACTCTTCCGTAACTCTCCATCTGACTCCACAAGACAGTGATGTTATTTATTTGGTTGTACAGGAACATCTAGGAAAAGATTGAATGTAAGGTGGGGGGGGGGGGGGGGGTGATTCCTCATATGGTTGGGGTTTTTATTGTTTGAGTTTTAGTTGGAATGGAAAGTGTCAGCAGGCCAGACATGGGCACAGCTCTGAACTAGGTCTAATTTCAAAGTAGTTTTTGAGTTCCCCCACTAGAAACATTTTTTATACCCACAGAGCCAGAAACACAGGTAAAAGCACTGGGGTTTTGCAGACCGTGCTCTGGTGTGCTTGACAGAAGTTACCTTCCTACGACTGGGATAAATGCCATTTTTCAACCTACATGGAGTCACACAAACATAACTTTCAGTGTATCACTTTGGCAGCAAACCCAGTATTAAATTTTAAGTGCATGCTGGATTGTTACAGAATTATTCCAGCCTATTAAAAATGTAGGGATTTTTCATCTCCAAGCCACATTGCTCAGTTCTGCCAGGCTGCCCAGCCCAGGGGGGATGATCTCAGTAACAAAGAAGTGCTGAAGTAACTGCTGCTTACAGTTAAAAGTTTTGCAAACAGATCAATCACCAGTTTTGTTAATAAAACATCTGGATGCATTCTAAAAATGGTTTATTCTGATCAAAAGATTTATTTTTTTTTTAATTGGCTGAGGTTAAAACAAAGCAAATATGTATCTATTTCCCCACTCATTTTAGCAGCAACAGTAGTTATATTTGTATCATTTTATAGCAGAGCCTTTTATAAGATAAGCCCTATCCCCTGTATGAAAACCCAATCAGTAGAATCAGCATTTCATTAAGAAGTCAGTCATGCTGTGTTATTTACAGCTGTCATCTTAAGAGCTAACTAAGAATTTTCATCTGACAGGAAGGTTTTCTTTTGAAGCCAAGTATCGAATGGCAATTGTGAAATAGCATCATGAAGACAAGATTCACAGTTCATTTTGGAATCAGTTTTATTTTAAGGAGACTTACTCAAACAATTACCAACCTCTGGAAACCTAAGGCCAAAATGAGCTATTCAGGGAACTATTTAAATTCAGGTTTTGTGAAGGACAACACTTGTGCTAGCTAAGCCACTGAATCTGAATAAGTAAAAACGAGGGGAAACCCCTCAGATTGTAGACTGGGCAGTGCAAAAATAGAGAGATCTCAATGTTGTTCTACTGATTATTGTCATTAAACCAGATGTTGTTCAAAACCTTGGCCAAGCAACTCTTCTGTAATCAGCCACAAGCACAAACTCACTCGTGATAGATGTATGCACTTATATTTATAACCATGGACTTATGCACACTCACCTCTTACATAGTAATTTACTTTGTATGCACAAATATGCATATTTGCTCTTTATCCCCCCCCTGCACATCAGCTTTGTAAAACTCTCTTCACAACTGGAATGTCCAAAGAATCAAATATTTCAGAATGCAAAGTGATATGAGACGAACTTGCTGATGCCAGCAGTTGAACACCAATGCTTGCCACTATCAGCTGACAGGACACTAATTACTACTTGCAGGAGATGATTGCTTGGTAAAGGATCTATTCAGTGAGTTAGGATTGTGAAAAATTACAAAGTAAAGGCCTGTTCTGTGAAAAGATATGCAGTATGAAAATACAGCATACGTTCTCAAGATGATTATCATGACAGAGATCTGTCTAATTAGGAAGAATCTATTTTAATGCTAAGATATGAAAGAGCCCAGCTGGGAGAGGAATTTAGAGGAAGACACAGAAACATGACTGTGAAGCTGACAGCAAGTGCAGCCTAAGCATGTTCCAATGACAGCTTCTAAAAAAATATTTCATCTCAGCATTAATCAATAGTGGTTTCAGAACAAGCACAGCCTTACAGATCCTCTAGCGAGTCGTATTAGTGGGAGGAGCTCCATAAATAATATAGAAAATAGGCGTTTGCACAGCAATACACAGAAACCACTTTCATTTTGTCAGTGGAGCTAGGGGTTATCCCATATGTAGGCAACATTCCAAATATCACGATGAGGATAAATATGAATCCCACTCTATTAGAAATCACACTCTAGGTCCTGGTACTGCCAGGCAGGTTGGAAACTGCAATCCTTGTGACAACAAGTTTCAAACCATTTTGGGCAACAGATTAACCTTCAGAGTAGCCACCTGGGTAGAAACCTTTCTGAAAGCTCCTCCTATAATTAAATGGTTTGTCTAAATTGATGGATGACATAGTGACACAGGCATCTGCTGGAAGGCAAACCTAGAGTCAACCACGCAGTGTGTTTGCTGAATATCACTTTGAAAACCAGCTAACAGACACTTTTTGGGTCTGCAAGAAACAGTTTTCTCATGCAGCAAAAGAGTTACACAACAAAAGGGTTTCGGAAGATTGTTGCCGAAGGTTCTCTTAGATGCAGTGCTGAGCAAATCAGACCTACCTCAGTTACTACCACAAGCTGTTTAAGCATATGCTGCCTAATATAGCCGGAGTCAAAAAAGAATACAGTAATAGTGTCATTTGGAAAGTAGTCAAAGCAAAGACATGTAGTTTAAGCTTGACTGAAAACAAAAAACCCCACAACCTCTGTGAATATATCTGTGAAATCCAGCTACAGCATGGCAAAAATTCTCTTGACAGCTGGGTGGCCATGAGTTATGGCTGTCAGAACATCCACTGCTGCAGGAATTCTTCAAGGGATGAGCTGAGTCTGGAGCTAAAGAAGTTGCTCTAAATAGATGAGGAAAAAGTTGTCAAGGCTGCAAAGGAACAGAAGAACAAAATGATAAAGGGAGGAAGGGGAAACAACAGAGAAAAACAGAAAGATAATTAAAATGGAGAAGTCAGGGCTTTAAGGCATTGCAGAAATAATCACTATGTGTAAATACAAAAAAAACCCACGTCCCCTCTTAAAACTACACACTTCCTAGCTTATGCATTTCAAGTTGCAGGACATGGGGGATCTAAATCAGGATTTGTACAAGATCTTCCCAGTTGTGAACAGCACTGAAAGCTCCAGTTCAGCAAGGTGGGACTGGCACAGGGACCAAACTACACACACACCTGAGTACTCGGCTGAATCAGGGCTGGACTAAAATGGGGAAGGAATGCAGAATATGTACTCCTCCTCTCCTGTGCTGATTACAGAACATAAAAAAAAGGAGTGAATGCATAAATTGGCATTGTTACCCACGCACTATCCTGCTGGATTAACGTTACTGAAATACATCCTGGTTTAGGAAGCAGAATTCAGATAATTAATCCCCATAGACCACAGTATGTCTTTCTGTTATTTTAAAAACCTGTTTCTGGAGCTAAGAGCTGTAGGAGATACCCATGGAGAGAGCTAGCAGAAAGCTTGAAGGAGGGGAAAGTAAAATTGTCACTCGGGCACAGGCTCTGTCTAAGCCCTCATCTGTCACACTGAGCTCAAGAGAGTGACTGGGTTTTAATGGAGGAGGCAAGGGAATGGTGGGGAGAGAATACCAAGGAAGGAAATCAAGAAAAATCCCAGGGAGATGCTTCTGGGGGTTCCTTGCAGCTTGCACTAGAAGTACACATGAAGGAACTTAAATTAAACTTTACTGCTTCTCAGTAAAGACTGTCCCACTTCCATTTACCTTGAATTAACAGGTCAACAAACAAAAAATCCCTCATCAATAAAAGCAAATGCCAACCTTTGGTGATGAGGAAGCAGCTTGAGGATGTTTTTTCCTCTCCAAGACAATTGGTGTTTTGATATCAGCCACTTTTAATAATTTCAGATTGAACGCTGAATTTTCTGCAGCAGAAGAAAGACTGAACCCATTGAAAACTATCGTTCATCCTCCTTCATACAGGAGACTGATGATTGTTCTGTGGCCCTGGGCATAACTCATCAAGTTTAATATTCAAACAAGAGCATTTTTATAAGGTCTTAAATTACAGGGAAACAGAAATAAAGGATCATTTTCCACAATGGTAATTTTTTGTAAGATACATATATGTTCATACTTCAAGATAGAGAAATACAGTATTTTCCTCCCCATGCCTATAAATGTGCTGACACACACCACTGTTTCATTGAAATTGCTAGTTTACAATAAACAAATATACAAGTATATCGGCTACAGTTACAAACCTGTGTTAAAAGTACATCACTGAGGTTGAAGTCTTGCAGTCAATCAGTTTAAAACTACCAAAATCAAAGCACTGTGCAATCTTTACTCAGCTTCCTTGCGCAATCCACAGTATGATGGAAGTCTTCAAATACACCCTTACATGCTATTTTTCCACAGGATGTTTGCTTCATTCTGTACACAGAATTGTCAGTGCTCACCAGTGAGCAGCTATTTAATACATTTTTCCCTTGTTGTTCTACATGTCACCACGTCTATTTACTAATTCAATCCCTGTTCACAGACATTCATTTCCTCAGAATAGCCACCACTACTGTTTCTGAGTGTTTCACATGTACCAATAATCTAATTTTTATGATTCATTGCAAGTGAGGGGACAGTGCTCTTACTTATGTTAGAGACTGGAAACTGAAACAAAGAAATTTAGCTTAAAACGTGTTGCTAAAATGCCCCGTTTGAGCTGATTTTTTAAAAGACTTAAACAAGTTAATGTACACTGTGTTGTACAAGAGCAGCCCACTCAACTTCAGCTGAATCTGTAGGTACCTGGAAAATGAGGAAAGCAATTAGTGGTCTTCTGCAAGAAGCAGAGTTTACACAAACTGAGTGGCACCCCTTAAGGCAGCTCAAACATTTCATCTTAAACACATACAGTTCAGTAAATTCCAGGCAAAACCAGAAATCAGACCTTAAAGGAAAGGAAGAAAATACTGCATGCTGGTCTTCAGTAATACTTTAAAAGAAATCTTTCTGTCCCACTTTTTCTGTAGACTTACCTTTCAAGTAGCCTTTGCTGAAGCAAAGTCCAAACATGCTGGGTTTAGAAAGTACTGCTCAGGGAATGTTTACCTGAGGCCAGAAAATGCTAAAGAGATAAGACACTAAAATAACATGAAAATCCCTAAAAAGATACAGAAAAGATCTCTGTTCCTGCTTGGTCACATTTACCAAAGTACAAACCCCAGTAGCTACTAGCTATGTTAAAAACCAAGCCTGCATGCAGGCTATTTCCAGAGTCACTAAAGTTACTAGACAACATTCATCAGAAATCTAGGACACTTTCATCATAGCTCTGGCTTGCTGTTAACTAATGGTTTACAGTAAACAACAGCTGATTAGATTCCAGTTAGACAGGGGAAAAAAAATCTTTCTCATAGTATGAATAGTGGACTTTGAATAGATTACTTATGGAGGCTGTTAAGTCTTCATCGCTGAAAGCTCTAGGAACGGGTTAGACAAATTTGTTAGTAAGGACACAAATATAATTGATTTTGCCAGGGAACAGGGTAATGGATTATTAGGTGACTTCTTAAGGTTCCTTCTGGTCCTAACTTTTCATAATGCTACAATTATTTAGGAAGCTTGAAAGTTATAAATGTATTTAAGCTGTTAATAACTTCATTTAATTAATTCTGACTTGTGTGTACAATGAGAAGGTTACTTATGAACTTGTGCATTGGTTCAGACCAGATCTGGCATGGAGCTCCATCTCGCATAGTAACCATGGGAGTGGACACTCAGGAAAAACAAGAACAGGCTAAGCACATACTGCCTCCCATCTCAAAACATATCGTCAAGTTAGGTTGGGTGATTTATCTAGTTAGTAAACTCTACAGCACATCTTCCGTGTTTTTTTTTCCCAGTGTCTCCTTGCATCTCTATAAACCCCTTGATCTATTTGAGGAGTACCACCAGAGGTCCATATAGGTTGAACGAACTGGTTCCTCTGGTTTGTTCTGAATGAACCTCTCACTAAGTACTTCCAATATCCCTCATGCCTGTATTAGAACAGACAGTGAAGAGCCAATCACATTCTGCTCCTCTCCAGACTTCTCAGTTCTGCAGACCTCTTTGTACATTCCCCCTATGTCATTTTTTTTTTTTCCAAATGAAAATTCTTGGCTATTCAACAGATAGAGTTCTTGCCTGTTGTGCTGGAAGTCACAGAATACCTTTCTTCTTCAAATGTATGACTGTACGATTATCTACACTGATTTGCACCTCTTGTTTTATTGTACAGTCATTCTTTCAGCAAGTATGCAGTCTCCCTTGTCCTTACTACCTTGCATAACCTCAAATCATCAGCAAAGCTTTGTCCCCTCACTGATCACCTCCCTTCTCCAAGTCATTTAAAACCATATTGAATAGTGCAGACCCCAAGACAGTCACCATATCGAATTTCACTAGTGATCTCCCTCCTGTGCAAGAGCTGACCATTTACTTCCATCCAACAATGGTCTATCCACTGTTCACCTCTTTTAAATCATATTCTCATCTATTGCAGCTCCTTCCTCCTTATGCCAGTGACATTCTTATGTGCTTGTTTTTCCTAACATGCTTTGACAAAAAGTTCTGTCAAAAGTCTTTTGGAAACCCAAGTTGACTGTATCAGTCAGATGATCTTCATCTATGTATGACTGACCCCTTCAAAGAACTCTGAGAGCTTGTTAACTCTCACTGATTAGGTAATATTTATTCAGGTAGATGCTATTTCTCTCTCTTATTACAATATCTACTCATTCACCTGGAACAGATGTAAAATTTTAGTTCGCTGGATGCCCTTGAAGCCTTTCTTAACGACTGACATCACATTTGACACCTTCCGATTTTCATGTATTGAGGAATACAGAAGAGACAGGTTACAGGCTGCTATTAGTAGATATTTCATCCCTGAGTTCTTTTAGAATTCCTGGGTGAATCCTTCAGATCCTGGAGATTCATCTGCATTCATCTGCCTTTTGTACCATTACCTCTTCCAGATACTTCAATTTCAGAGACATTCTCTGCTGAGTTCCCTGAAAGCCCCAAAGGGCTCTGGAAGGACAGTTTACCTGATTTCTTCTGTATGGGTTTGTATGGCAAGGTTTTGGTAGCAGGTGGCTACTGAGGTGGCTTCTGTGAGAAGCTGTTAGAAGCTTCCCCCGTGTCAGATACAGCCAACACCAGCTGGCTCCAAGACAGACTCGCTGCTGGTCAAGGCTGAGCCCATCAGCAACAGGGGTAGTGATTCTGGGATAACAGAGTTAAGAACGGGGAGAGAAACCCAAACTGTGCAATTGCAGCTGGAGAGAGGAGTGAAAACAAGTGAGCAAAACAGCTCTGAAGACACCAAGGTCAGTGAAGAAGGGGGAGGAGGTGCTCTAGACTCCAGAGCAGAGATTCCTCTGCCGCCTGTGGTGCAGCCCATGGTGAGGTAGGCTGTGCCCCTGCAGCACATGGAGGTCCATGGTGGAGCAGGTACTTACCTGCAGTCCATGGAGGACCGTAGGATGGATTAGCACTGGAGAAGTTTGTGGAGGGCTGTCTCCCGTGGGGGAGGCCTGATGCTGGAGAAGAGTGTAAGGAGTCCTCTCCTAAGGAGGAGGAGTATGATCAGAGACAAGTGAGATGAACTGACCACAACCCGCATTCCCTGTCCCCCTGTGCTGCTGGGGGGAAGAGGTAGAGAATTTAGGAGCAGTTAAGTCTGGAAAGAAGGGAGGGATTGGGGAAAGGTGTTTTTAAGATTTGGGGTTTATTTCTCACTACCTTACTCTGATTTGATTGGCAATAAATTAAACTAATTTCCTCAGGTTGAGTCTCTTTTGCCTGTAATGATAATTGCTGAGTGATCTCTCCGTGTCCTCATCTCAACCCACGAGCCTTTCATTGTATTATCTCTCCCCTGTCCCGCTGAGGAAGGGAATGACAGAGGGGCTTTGGTGGGCACCTGGCATCCAGGCAGGTTCAACCCACCACAGAGATGGAAAAAAAACAAACAGAAAAGACAGGCCATTTCCAAGTCCTGATCCAAATTACTTCTCTTTGCCAGTACCTGGAGCAGAAGCCTCCCTTCTCACCTTCTTTCTATCCTTTGTAAGCTCTCTTCTAGTGTGTCTTTGGTGGGCAACTGGCATCTACCCAGGGTCAACCCAGCACATCTTCCACAGTGAACAAGGATGCACTCTCCAGTGACTTTGTTCTCCCAGAGACTTCATTTTATACCATATTCAGACTCACTGACAATGTTTTTTCATCTCTTCATGCACTGGAAGAAGGATCTTGAACTATTTTTGGTTCTCTTAACTAGACAGATCTCAGACTCATATTTGGTCTGCTTAATTGTGGTTTTCAGAGTATACATGTTAGTGTTTCTGTTTGTTTGGTGGTTTAACCTGCATCTGTCTTGAGCTTTTGGAAGGACTTTTCTTCTTTGTAACAGCCTTTCTCTGCTGTTTAGCCACGACTGCTTCTTTTTACTTTCTCAGGCATGTCCAGGAAATCACATGCATTGGCTTTGTGCTTCCTATTTGGTGTCCTTCTGTAGTCTTCTTGCCCCTTTATGGCTTGGGTGCCAGTCTTTGTTTATTCTTGGCAAACTTTGAAATGAACACAACAGTGGTGGCCAGTTTGGTCTCTATTGCTCCCCAAAGGTATTGAATCCAAGAATGTTATGTCATTCTTAAAGAGGTCTCAATGTTCAGCAAGATATAAATGCATATATAGATATGTATGCATATGTATGTGTGTATGTATATATATATGTATTCCTTATATATAATTGTGCAAATTGCAATATAGGGCAGCTGTGGCTGTTAAACCTAGGGCAGCAACTGTGAAAGGACTTCTGGTTCTTATTGAATATAACCAGACGTTCATTTAGATCTGATCTCATTTCTGAGACTGCCTGAAATATATGCTGATAATAATTAGCATTTAGTGCATGTAGCACTCAAACCTTCTAAGCATCATTATTCCTCCTTGCAGAGCAATTATGAGCCACAGAACAGTGAAGTGACAAAAGACAGTATCTATAATTCTTCATTTCACTCTGCTGACTATATTGCTATCTCTTTTTTTTTTACTAGGAACAACTAACTTTGCAAACTAGAGGGCACTGCTTTCAAATAATGCTGTTACAGTTGATTTTATGTGTTGAACTTGCCCAAATGAGGTGTTTATATCCTTATTTTCAGACCCTCTTCAGTCTGCATATAACAAATATTTCTGTTGTAACTATGTAACACAGCATGACTTTCATGCAATTGGTATTTTAAGGTAACTTGTTAGCTTCTGAAGCTTGTTTTGTATTTCACAGCTCAAGGCATTTCAATTGAACAAGGTGATACAGACACATAGCCCATGTTGCTGGGGCTCTGAACTCATGGAATGATTCATGTGGTACACATTCTAGAGAAATCTAGCACTACAGATCAAAAATACTAAAGCAGCACCTTTGCATAAATACACATCTATAAAAAATACCCCATAAAATAGGAAATAAATAAGAGCATTTTTAACTTTTTCATGGTGTAGCACCAAAACCTATGTGTAGTCAGTTTCCACATCACCTTTCTGATTCTCATGTCTTCTATTAATCTGTTTTACTCATCCAGAACTCAGTAAAAAAAAGTCTTAATTTTGCACATCTCACTCACAGGGAGATAACTTGTCAGCACAATAATTTTGATATTGGTCTATACTGATCTAGTATAGATCACCCGATATTTTCCACCTTTTCATTCCAGTAACTTGCACATTGGTACCTTAAGTTCTAGGTCAGTACATTGACAGCACAATTTAATTTTGGTGGTAGAGCTACTTGCTTCACTAGCCAGCCAACTTGTCTTGGCAAGACTTGCAAATGATAGAACACAGGAAGGTAGTAAGAACCTTTTCATTGCATGTTCAGTGGGTTTTTTTGAATCTACATTTCCTTTCTGGAAAAGGAACCACACGCTTCCTCAGTTAGTATGGCACCAGAAGCTTGATGCCTTTTTCTCTGAATTGCCCACTATCAGTCACTGTTAATTACCAGTTAAAGCAGGGTCACAGACTTCACTTCCATACAGAAGGAAAAGCTGAGTTGTACACTGCCCAGTGGGTAATATTTATCAGTCCTTCCAGCACTCTCCCACACTGAATGTAGTTTTATTTAGTAATGCTTTGATGCTAAGTCAAGCTCTGTGTCACTTATCATCTCAACCTGGGATTCATGGAAGTTACTCCCTTTAAACCCATCTTACCAGCTCTGTCCGAGGTGTAGCTCTGCACATTGACTTATTTACTTGTGCATGATTCCTCAATTTAACGTTATAGCAGTGACACCAAAAAGCCCAAAACTGGTTACATGGTTTCCCCATTTTTCTGTCTTGTGACTCAGAAAGAGGCCTGTCATCTCTCCCACATTGCCTGGTACAGTAACTTGATTGGAATTTTATTTCCAAGACACAGTAACAATAGAGGTTTGGTACTCTACCAATATTTAAAATTCCTTTACAGTCATTGCTAATTTACTGATTCTTAGCTCTGCTGAATCAGCATCACTGAAGGCAATGTCTCCCCTTAATCACTGACAGAAAGCAGGGCCTCTGCAAGGGCAGATTCAACAAAGAACAGGACTAGGGCAGACTGACAGTAGCTGTATCAACCCCTATACAATCGTTTTAAAATTAACTAAAATCACTAACCTTTCACTTCTGGAGGAGGAGGTTCAATTTTTTGTTTAGCCATGCATGAAAATGAGTTCAGCAATCTTGGTTTAGCCTCGACAGAATCATTCATGTAATTTGTCATGATTGGCAGATTTTGCTGTGGAGAAAGAGTGAATATGAATTAGGAAATAAAAGCGAGGTTTCTTCAGGTTGAAAAATCAAACATCAACAAATCTGAATGTCAGAATCACAGAGAGCAAATTCAAATCTGAAAGGCTGGACCTTTGCGCAACCCCCACATGAACAGAATAACAAATGGAATAGGAGGCAGGATCTACTGTAATCTATCAGACATCATGGCATCAATGGAGCAGTCCCTGAAACAGTACTGTGAATAGGCTGGCTGCAAACCAATGGAGTGTTTCTGAAGCCTACTCCTCAAATGCGCAGTGTCTTCCTATCCACAGGAGGTGCTCTCAGCACAGCAGGGAGCTTTGTGTCTCAAAAATGCCCGACATTTTGTGAGAGCCAGTGGCCCTGCTTCACCTGTCACCATGAATTCCAGGGTGCTGCTCAATCGAAAAGTGAACAGTCTGTTTCTAGAGAGTAAGGAAGACTGCAAGTTCCTCTTTTCCATGAAGGAGCACTTCCTGAACAACAACAAACTACAAATGAAAAACTATAAATACACACGAAAGGGAAAAATTAGAGAAGGAGAAAATGGGAGAGAGAGAGAAGTGAATACTTGGCAACTCCTCATCTGTCATAATCTTCTCACTTGCTTTGGGTGACTAACTCTTAGGTCCAAACTGAGCCTCCTGTATGAAATGAACCCAGGTGACAATCAGTGAATTACCTCAGTAAGGACAATGGATAATCTTTTGACTCAGGATGTACATATAACTGTTCTGTGATAAACTTATTCTCCTTATGTATAATTTATTTTTTTCTTTGACAAAACCTAAACTTTGCATAGTCAAAAAGCTTTGAAAGTAACCATATAGAGATGCACTGTCATCTCAAAGTTTAAACGGAACTGAAAAAAGACAGTATCTCCTGTGATGCAAATCAAGACACAAGCCTAACACAGATGGTTTAATACTACATATTTTCAAGAATGAATGATGTCCTTATATGTGCTTACACAGCATCAGCCTCAAAAGTGCATCTATGGATTGTGACCGGAGCCCTGTGCATTACTGTAGTCCAAATATTGTAAAACTCACCTACACCTTTAACTCACTGCTTAACTCACTAAAAAAAAGAGCCAAGGGAAACACAAGAGGTTGTTTGGTTTAACATAACTACTAGCTGCAACTCTTTCTGTAAGATTTAGCTGGTTTACTTTATTAAAAACAGTAACCAAAGGGGATGTCCAAAGCACCCATCGCCACTGCAGATCTTCAGATTATATTTAGCGCTCCACAGTCATCACCCTAGGTGGGGAACCCTGCAAATAAATCTGTAGCAAATCTAACCATCTTTGTTACTCAGCTAGGAAATGGCTTCTGTTTCCACCCAAAACCTTGCACGAAATCCTGTCAGATTCAGAGCCGTAATTCAACCTGTTGTAGACTAATTTGAATGTACAAGGACTTTCTACCTTGCACAGTGATAGTCAATATTTAAATCTCAAAGGCATTCTGAACTGTGATTTGTTGTAGAAAATTTTTCAGTTCGAGGAATTTGTTAATTATTCTTTTCCCACCTCTTGGATATGTCTGGATATGTCTTCTGCATCCAAGACTATAGAGTTAGGCTGGTGTTAGTGTGCTTTTTCCTCTCTGGGTTCTCTGACAATGTGCTCTGCTTTTGGGAAGAGCCAGTGCCACGACTACCAGGAGTGAAATGCCCTGTCATACTCCTAGGTTGTATCATCAAGACAGTCTTCTAGCCTGCCTCTCATCTTCTCAATACTACTTCAAGAACTATCATTTAACAAGAAAAATTAATCAAAGCAAAAGAATGAATGAAAGCAAAATCTAATTTAACCATCCTTTGCCTAAATCCACCAGGCACATCAGATCCCAATCCACCATAGTCTTATTAAAACATGGATGGTTGAAAGGTGCTGTAGGATTTATAAAAAGAAAACAGACTGTCTCAGAGGCTGATGCCAAATAACTCATTGCCTGAGTTATCACTCTTCAATCAAAAAGTCTATGAAGGAACTACATAAGTCATTTAGACAGCAATCACCATGGAGTTATGCTGGCCTCTCATGTCAGTGATGAAACAGCCAAATTCCCTGACAGTGGTGAGTTATTCCTTTTATCACCGGCAGAGCTGCCAAAAGAATCATCAAGGCTACAGGCATGGAAAACATAAGGCCTCTCCAAATTCAAGTGATAAAAATACAATGTGTTTTATTACTTTAATCTTTACAATTTAAGTTTTGGAAAAAAAAAACATCCCTGCAACAATGTCAACCACAGTTAAGTAACAATATGATTAACTTAACTTAAACTGAGCATTTAATTACTGTAAGGAAGCTTTCTTCCAGACCATGATCTCTGGGATCCTGTTCCCACCTCCCTCTGCCCCCAGTCTCTCTCCTAACTAAACATGTATCTTTTAGCCCTGACAAAGCCAGCATAAAATATTGGGTGTTTTATTACAAATAGTAATTCTGTCACTTCAGGGGGAGATTTTCTTTCTCTAGTTATAGTAATGACTTAGTATAGGAAATTGGTCATTTTTGGTTGCACTTTAACATTGCTCTAGAGGTCACATACTGTAAGCAAGAGTATAAGTGTTTAGAAAGATTTCTCTGCCTGGCCTGACTGCCTTTAAAAATCCCAGAGAAAGTAAAAATATATCCATTTTCTTGCATAGTTTTAAATACTTGTTTTAAAACCCTAGCGTGTACTGAAGCAAAGCAAGTTTTGTGGGCCTGATTTCAATTTGAGCAGAATTTCAGTTAATAATGTTGCACGCATAAACCCTCTTTTAACAGTCCATAATATTAAACTGAAGACAGGACTGCTAAAGAACTTTGTTATTTTTTCTCCCTGTTAAATCAGTATTACAGACTTTCAGCAGATGTCTTTAATAGACATTGTTATTAAAAAAAAGTATACATAAAATAAATTCAGACCATTTCTTCAGCATTACTTATTCCCACCATTAAGAGCAGGATTTCTCCCGTATCTTCAAATTATTACTTTTATACCTAACACAAACAAACAAAAACTCATCTCCAGACACTATAAACCTCTGTCAGCATCCACACTATTCCTGTATTTAAAGAACTGTCACTACTTCCATTGACAGTAACCTCCTACTTTTACAGGTTTAAAAGGTAGCCTTAAGAATGTGTTCTAGTAGAAACATTCCAGCCCATAAGCATTTTTTTTTAAGTTGGGAAAAACATCCATCTTCTTCTGAAGCTGTTGGATGCCAAAGAGGTTTTGTAGTGCCAGGCATTTTTCTGAGCTTTTATAAAAACTTAAAAATAATGTCAGCGTTGAGTTAACTTCTTGCAATGTATCACCTAATAAATTTGTACCTTCGTGTTTTTACTGTTCAGGAAATGTTATTACACACAATCATTTTTTCAAGGCAAAAAACCACCACAGGTGATGTCTCTGGGTCAAACTGTCTACATGCCTAAGATAAGAGGGGGATTTAAATTAGACATTATGAAGAAATTCTTCACTATGAGGCTGCTGAGACACTGGCACAGGCTGCCCAGAGAAGCAGTGGCTGCCCCATCCCTGCAAGTGTTCAAGGCTAGGCTGGATGGGGCTTTGAGCAGCCTGGTATATCTTCAATGCCCCTTCCAACCCTAACCATTCTATGACTCTGTAAGTACATGAAGTCACACTTATGCTCCTGTCATAAAATAAGCCTTGTTGCTCTGATGTGAGCATACAGTTCCTTATCTCCAAAAATTAGGCTACTTATTCACCTAAGTAAATACAAATTTATGAGCTACAGATCTCCCCTCTTCCCCCCCCCATCTGCACAGGTAACCTGAGTATATATAAACTGGGAGATGTCAGAGTACTCCTGAGTTCCTAGGTATCAACTAAATCTTGTCTTCTTATTGATACAAGCTTCTCCCTTGACAACCTGATTTCCAGAGAAACCTAATGCATGATCAGATGGGAATAGCAGCAAGTTCTTGGTCTGGGTAAATAGGGAACTGGATCTAGGACAACCTTAAGAAACATCTGGAGACGCAATGGACTCTGGAATTAGGATCCTCTGGAGTAATTCTACTGAGAGCAGAATATATACTGCATACGTATTTTTATATGTACGGTATATATATAATATGCGTTTTTATACTGAGTAAATTAAAGTAGACTTTGGTCCATCAGCAGTACATAATACTCTTTCTTACATATTTACTGTATGAGTGAAAAAGAGAAATAACAGCATAAAAGCTAAGTTCTCTTGGTTAAGTCCATCTTCCCATCACAGACTTCTAAAGGCTCAACTCATAACTCTACACTTATCTCAACAAGAGACCTTTAAGGCTAAATGCATTAAATTCTCAAGTGCTGCATGGATTGCTGAGGTGCTTTAAAAGGCTGGTCACTGTTTGCTGTATGAATCTTTACCTGTGTGAATCTGATGTTCACAATACCATTAGTGTGTTAAGTATTTACTTCAGCAGATGAAACTATGGTATGGATGGAAAATGGCATCTTTTATAGCCATTGAAAAGAGCAGTTTAAGGCAATCATTAAGGGCTGTAGGGTGGAACCAGACTGAGTTTGTTCCATACACTACACTATTTCAGTTGAAAGAGACTACAATGATCGTCTAGTCCACCTGGCTGACCAGAAGTCAAAGCATGCTATTAAGGGCATTGTCCAAATGCCTCTTAAACACAAACAGGCTTGGGGCATCAACCACCTCTCCAGGAAGCCTGTTTAGACATAGGTCCTTCCACTCAAGGAAGCACCTTAGCTTTGTGGTTGAAGGGTCACCAGCTGCAGGTCATAACTACACCATAGTCATGGGGTTTAGTCAAGTCACTAGATTTTCAGTTTCAGAACAACAGTCTTCATTCAGCAGTAATCAATCATTATTTATGTTAAAATTTCAAGCTCTTTTAAAACTGACAAGAAATTCTAAAGAAAATGAAAGCTGTTTTCTTTATCCTCCTAATTCTGCTTGGAGGAAGCATCAGTGAACATTTATAAG